ACAAACTGGCAATATTTTGATGGCTGGTTATTAAAGAATAAAGATTAAAGATTAATGCGAAGTATTTTCAATCAGTAAGGTTAGGTATTAAATAGTCAAAAAGCTATATATAGCCTATAGGTATTGCAGCACGCATCAGTTATTATTTCTTTAGTATACAGTATGCAAGATACCACGGCTTTCAAGCAGGGCTATCACAACCGCGAGTTGATTGTACTATATTCGTTATTTAATATAGCTACTCATTTCTATATTTTGATACAAGGTAGCACAAGACAAATAATATTTATTTACATATATATACCGGGTGGCGCAAAAAAAGTTCAGGCGTTTGATCTACCATAGGGAAAAAACTATAAGAGCTATATGTCGCTCAAATAAATGTAGCTGTATTCATAAAAGGATAACTTAAATTTTGATAGGTTATACATGAGATATCACGAAATATTGACTGTGATATCAGCGTTTAAATTAAACTTGCGTAAGCATTTTCAAAAGAATCGAAAATTAGTCTAAAATGGCCCATTGAACTAAATTTAATATCATTCTCATTAGACATTACGCTGGGCATCCCCAGATTATTTCCCGGGCGAGCTAGTGATGAGTAAACGCGGAGATGAGCCGTACCCCTGGCTTTCAGATTTGACAATAACCAATTTTTTTGTGACTATACCTGTAGAGTATAGTTGAAATATCAAATTTGGAGTATGCCACATCGACAGCGCTAGGTTTTGGAATAATATCTAGAATACTTTTAGTGAAAACTCTTGTGTCAGAAAGATATCCCATCTTTTGCTGACAGGTTATGAAGATGTCCCATCTTTTCTTAACCAGTGGAAGCTTAAAAGGAGTCTATAATATTATTCTTTACACCACGCTAAGTTAGAGTAAAGCGGCGCATGCAGCGATAGCGCTAGGTTTTGGAATAATATCCAGAATACTTTTAGTGAAAACTCTTGTGTCAGAAAGATGTCCCATCTTTTCTTAACCAGTGAAAGCTTAAAAGGAGTCTTATATTATTCTTTACATCAGGCTAAGTTAGAGTAAGGCGATGCAGCTTGCGCTATAGCTTTTGGAATAATATCTAGAATACTTTTAGTGAAAACTCTTGTGTCAGAAAGATGTCCCATCTTTTGCTGACAGGTTATGAAGATGTCCCATCTTTTCTTAACCAGTGGAAGCTTAAAAGGAGTCTTATATTATTCTTTACATTAGGCTAAGTTAAAGTAAGGCGATGCAGCTTGCGCTATAGGTTTTGGAATAATATCTAGAATACTTTTAGTGAAAACTCTTGTGTCAGAAAGATGTCCCATCTTTTGCTGACAGGTTATGAAGATGTCCCATCTTTTCTTAACCAGTGGAAGCTTAAAAGGAGTCTTATATTATTCTTTACATCAGGCTAAGTTAGAGTAAGGCGATGCAGCTTGCGCTATAGGTTTTGGAATAATATCTAGAATATACTTTTAGTGAAAACTCTTGTGTCAGAAAGATGTCCCATCTTTTGCTGACAGGTTATGAAGATGTCCCATCTTTTCTTAACCAGTGGAAGCTTAAAAGGAGTCTTATATTATTCTTTACATCAGGCTAAGTTAGAGTAAGGCGATGCAGCTTGCGCTATAGGTTTTGGAATAATATCTAGAATACTTTTAGTGAAAACTCTTGTGTCAGAAAGATGTCCCATCTTTTGCTGACAGGTTATGAAGATGTCCTATCTTTTCTTAACCAGTGGAAGCTTAAAAGGAATCTTATATTATTCTTTACCTCACAACGCAGGCCGGGCGTAGATTCCGTAGATTAGCTATGACAATGGTGTCAATGCAGCTATTGTTTTTGGAATAATATATACATTTGATATATACGTTGGTGAAAACATTTGTACCAGATTCATGTGCGCACTAGGGCCTACAGGGAAAGGTGGTATAATTATATAACTTTATAAGTCAGTTTCTTTATTATTTAGCCATAGAAAACTTACGCCTTTGAAGCCGGACTTTTTATACTGCCAAGATCTAAAACGGCAAATATGTTCCGTGGTCTTGACATTGAATTATCGTGCTATTGTCTAAGATACCAAGAACGTTTTGTTTTACAACACACAAGTCTTAATATTACATATTATACGCAGCCTTATTACACATTGTACGCTATATAGTATAGCCTCCTGGCCCTAGGCATAGTTAACTATGCCCTAGGTGACTTGTCAACAGTCAGCATTGTGACATATTTGTACACTTTTATTTTAATGCATAACAGAAAATTGACTTATTACTTGCTTGGTTTCATACTGCGTCTAAGCAACTGAACCTGGATTGATGACATCTTATAGCGGTAATTAATAATGCGATTAGCGTTGCTCGCTTCCTGAAGTTGCAAACTCAGTTTGCAGATCCCGCTGTTTTTCAAAACGTGCGGGTCGTCATGCCCTAGCTTGATTGTCTATATGTTTGTAGGCTATTCCTATACAGTCACTTATTGTTGCAAAATCAAAATCCTTATTCGTCATGCAAATTATGTTTACTAAAAATCTATTCATCACAAGTGAAAATATTTTAATAAGGACAATGCCTCCCTGCTTGCCTATTCTAGTTGATTCCTTTTGTGGTCGCCTATATCAGAATACTGTTCAAATCCCTCTTTCCGACCACGATTAAATACTTTCTGCACTCTATCAATACAGAAAAATATTGCTATTATAAATCTGAATTGTACTTCGATTCTGTCTTGTTATAGATTGTGGTCGTACCGCGGACTCCAAAACCGCGCAAAAGGTAGTAGGCATTGACGGATTACTAGAGTACCGCAAGGACAAGCAAGAACTTTATATAAGATCAAACAAAACATGGAATGTGTTAGCACAAAAGAACGAGGTAGGTCGACATATATTTTATGTAATTAGTCTTAAATCATGTCAAAATAGTTGGAAACTTGGTTAATTATACTAGACCTGGAATGCCAGCATATAGGTAGCGATGAGAACAAACAGCGGCAATCTTTATAGGAAATACAACTACCTGATAAATGTAAACAGAACCTCGACGTTCGCTAGTATAAAAGCACATAATTTTCCCAATCTACGCTACGAACTTCTCAAGAACTTCTCATCGAAGTTCTTTCTATTTGTTGCTGGTTGAATTGCGTTTTCTATAAAGATTTCTATAAATTTTAGTTAATAGATGTATTTTCATTTAGGGTAATCATTATATTCGCTCAGTATATACACCAGATTTACATCGGCTGCTCTGACTTTTTTGTATACCAAAAAACACACGTATGTTTTCAAACACTTCGTTAAGGCCCTGTCACACTATTGCGTATCGTATACTAGCGTACGTATGCCAGCGTATGAAAAATATCACTCATACGCCGGTATACGCTCACATACGCTAGGGTTACGTTAGGACCCAGATTACTGAACCATTGATGCGTGCTGGCCCATCGGCCGAAAGAATTCAAGGCGGATAGCGGATAGCGGCGTATAAGACGCTTAATCGGTTTAGGTTTGGTAATAGCATCAACTTTATTAGGAACCCATCGTACTATATTATGGTCAGCAGACCCAAGCGGAGCAAGAATATGCGGCTTGTCATAAAAATCTTGTAAATCGGTGACGATGAGATCAAGGGTAGATGACCCCCTTGTAGGAGCAGAAACGACTTAATTGCTTCAAACTAAGACTACGGGTTAGGTTCGAAACATCAAAATTATTAAAATCACCAAGGAATACGATTCTACAATTAGGATAACAATTCCTAATGGAATCCGTTGTGTTCATCAGATATTCATCAAGATCACGTAGATCTTCAGCAGTTCTGCCAGGGGGGTTATACACAACGCAAACTGCAATAGCCGATATATATATATATATATATATATATATATATATATATATATATATATATATATATATATATATATATATATATATATATATATATATATATATATATATATATATATATAGCAACCCAGTGCAGTATTCTACGGTTATTTCTGGAATCTGGGCGATCAGCCGTTACCCCTCAGTTCACCACAAGGAAAAATTCAGATGTAAACATACCGATCTAAAATAATTCTTTTTCACACATAAAGTAAGTTATTCCTGCATGATACTTCTGCTCCTGTGAAACTACTTGCCTTATGGCAATGGTTAACGAAATTTAATCAGTCTTTGTAGGATTCATCCATCTTCCAAAGTCCACAGTTTCTTTCTTTCTTTTTTTATTTCCCCCACTGTTCCAATTTCAAAATTCCCGCCTTCCTTCGTTTCCTGCATGTCTAGAAATCCTAGGAGACCTAAATATAGAGTTTGGTAAAGACATTGCTATTTTATTTTGTCGTCTTCACTATCGCTTGCAAAGCTATAATTAGCTAGTATTGCATGTGAACAGTTAGATCATCATATCGAAAGTATCGTCATTTGTATAGTATAATGTGGCGATTAAATTGTGTTCTTATATTTCAGGTAGATCTAAAACTTGCGGAATTTGAAAAAAAAATGTTTAAGTTATTGAATTTTAACTGTGAGTATTGCTATATTTTCAACAGTACTGTAATCCTGGCCTATATAAACCGCGAAAGAAAAATAGCATAGACTAATCGACTCGAGCTATATGCTCTCTGTATATCCCAATTTATTCTTTTTATATTGAACATTTACAGCCAGGCAAGAATGCAGCAGTTATACATTGCTTGATAACAAAGATCGAAACATAAAGTACAGAAGTGGCAAGAGTTTGTGTGACAGTGGTATTTCAACCAGATGGTACAGATTTGGTGGTGATGCTGGAACTCAGTTGTCTACTACTTGTGTTCCGAGAGGCAGTGGCATAAACAATCTAAAATGTTCTACTCAAGCTATTTCTTGGTTGAATGGCGCTCATCCATCTGTGAGTGATGGAAAAGTCACACGTGAGGTGTGCTTCAGTTGGGTCAGCAGTTGTTGCTCGTTTAAAAAAAATATTGAAGTGATCAACTGTGGATTCTTTTATATCTACAAACTGGTCTCTCCACCTGGTTGCTCTCTTCGATACTGTGGAACTGACGTCTGAATTCTAAAATGAAATAAAGCCTCGAATCTTGTTAAAATTGATTGGGTTATGGTAATTAGGTTAAGCAACTGCAGTGATGCGATTTTTATGTAAGGGGATCAGAGAAGTACAGTTTGAATAAAATATATTGTCAAGGTTATACTTTTATTTCTTAAACAAACCATCAAAAATGGTGTAATAAAACTTCACGACTTGCGATTAAACGGTTTAAACACGACTACAAATTCAATTGATATACTGCCTTATTAGTATTCTTAATTTAAACAAGTACGATCGTACTATAGTGGACCGGGAACTGCGTGACCCAGTTTCGATCTTGTGCAAATCGTTAAACGTTCAAAACCTTCGAGATTTTGATTTGATAAATAAATAACTAGACACTTGTGAAACTAATGTTCTCGAAGTTTGCAACGTAGACTGAGTTCGCTAAATGTTTTGCTTTAATTTGGGGCATATCATAAATATCCGGGCAAAATGTGTCTAGTGCCGTTTATAGCCTAAATGAGGTGTAAATCTGGACAAAGCATACAATCCGCTTTGACAATATAGATTGGGACAATCTAGTTTTCACATGCATTCGGTTGTAATATACCATTTCCTGATACATATTTCCCTCCCTCCCCCCCACCCGTTTCAATGTTGGCGCCGCGCATCCTGCCATCAGATTTTTGTTGGCCCAACATTGAACTGGGGAACGTGGGACGCTATTCTTTTCAAATTATATGAAATTACAGCAGCTGTCCCATAGTTTCTGGCAAAGATTGTAGATAACTAAATGCGCAGTTTTCAAAAGTATTTCCTCGCATTTGAATTCGATAGATAAGTCAAATGTCCCACAATATTTAGAATAAACATGCCGTGCCTAAGTCAGCTAACTTTTGCCGTACATCAAATTTTGCCTTGCCGTGCCTGCCATTAATTAAAAAATATGTTAAGGTAACAAATTATCTGAATTGTTGCCAGGTTAATGCAATTTCATCTCGCTTAGTCATGGCTTCATAACTGCATGCTTGTGCTAAAAACAAATTTTCATGTCTTTGTTTTTACGGTTCACGATTTTCTATCGGACTATGAATATTATATGACAGCCAGATAGCAATATTACTCCACTACGCTTTGAGAAAATTAAATTTAGTCAACTTAACGCTTATAATTAATTGTTATAATTAGTCGTTCACATTCTTGAGAAGCTTTAGACTATTGCGATTGTGTTCACAACAATAGACAAGACAATGTCTTTCTTATCGTTTGCGTTTGCTGATATATTTGCTGAATATTAATGATATGTATATATTATTTGCTACGAATACAGTCAAAAATTGCTTGTATCTTGCTTCTAAAGTCAAAAATGAAAACTCGAACACCGTCAATCAATGCGGAATATTGCTTAGAATAATTGTGTCAAATTTCATTCCGATCAGACAAGTAATGACGGAGCCTTAGGGTTTTTTCAAAGAGCGTCGCCCAACAACAACAACAACAACAACAACAACAACAACAACAACAACAACAACAACAACAACAACAACAACAACAACAACAACAACAACAACAACAACAACAACAACAACATGATTTAAAAGCTTTAGTTCCATGCATGATTAAGATTAGGTTCAGTCTGCCTATCGCAAGCGATTTTTGCGGTATAAATAAAGACCAGTGGTCTGCTCTATCGATTAATCGGACAGTTATGAAAAAGAAAATCAGATGGTAATATACATGTTATATTAGAATCTTCAGTGCGGTGTTCCATTATAGTTTTGATATCGTTAGAACTCGCCGAGTTTCTGCAAAATTATTGAGTGTTTAATTAAAGCACATGTGAACGCCCTTTCTATTCAGTTACCCTTTCCAATAAGTCACGCCTCCTCCCCAAACACACCTGAAATAAATAAGTCGCCAGGAAGAGTGGAGCCTACTACACGGATTTACAGTTATTATAAAACTGAGGCTGTCGAAAGTAGAAACCTACACGGGACAGTGTCATTCTCACTCAGTCATTTGAACTCAATTTTTGTTCAAGTGCATACAATCTGTCAACGACTTCCGAATCAAGCTGAATCGTGCCCTAATAAGTATTGTCTTTGCTGATCATTTTCTTGGAAAATAGCCAATAATTATGCTGTACACCGTCTTCCTGTTATTGTGATGTCCGAAATTATAAACGTATGTGTTTGGGTTGGTAGCGATAAGATTTGAATCTCCTGGAGTCTTCGGGAGTATACGTGTAACTGGGAGTTTTTTCGGTGAATAGAAGGTAATTAATTTTATTGTATTTGTATTAAAAACGATTATGTTTTGCATATTTTACCGCAATTTTATTTGTATAAAATGGAAATATGATATACCACTTTTTATAATTTTTTGGTAAAAGATAATCATGATGAATGAGTTTGTCGTTTTCCACTGTTTTGGATTGTGAAGTTAAACGACACTTAAATTAAGTAATGCAAATAAAATATTCTTTTGTGGCTGTTTTCAAAAACTACGTTAGTTTATATCAAATATGGTTGCATACACGTTTCAGCTTCCGCACAAAGCACGCTCACGTGTTCGCGGCGCGCAAAATGTTCATAATTCGTCGTTCTTTCACCGCGCTTTTAACGTCAATTCGTTCTAAAATGCCCATCCTAACGATTCAATGGAAGCGCTAGCAAAAGAGGAAGAAAATAGCGCGGACATGCACGGGATGATCATTGTGAACTTAGTACGCTTGTCAAATTATAGACACGTACGTGCATGTATACGAAAATTTTAGAGCGTTATCTAATGGTTTCCACCATAGTTCCTTCAAGATTAAGTTCGACCGAGTTCGTTCAAGTCAAAGACTTTAAGAAGACTAGAACGCGACATTGAAGATGATTCACGCGGAAGGAGAGATTCGAGAACAAGGTTGAGCAACTGAACACAAACTGAGTTCACACAGGCCGAATGAATGTCAGACCGTACTCAAATTTCTACGATTTCGCGGTTTATCGCTTTCCGCCATGCATGACGCTCATGAAACCGGAAAAATTCGTGAAAACCTAACTGCACGAATGAACTATGTGAACAAGAGGAATCGGGCGAATTTGTGTGAACAGTCGTCTCAGTGTTTTAAAGATTGACCTTAAAGACCTTAAATTCTGTATTTTATAACTCCGTGTACGAATAAAACACGATAGCCGAGCACATGTACGGTTTAATGAAGCGTAATTTTCGCATTGAAAATGCAAATCAATGAAGATTCTGTTTCATAGAACGGCCGAATAGAAAGGCGAAATTGCATGAAACACCCCCGAGAAAAGTGCGCAAAAGTTAGCACGATATTCATACAAACTATGGAACAATACGCATCACGCATCCAGCTATTTTGGGGATCAAATTTTAAGCATGCTAGAGGGGGTCAAACGTATTGATTTGTTATGTACAGTACTGCCCTCACTACGACGCATCATAAGCATAAACATAAGAATAAGAATACCAAAACGTTGCGTTCTTTTCCTTATGCTGTCGGTGACTGTTGCTTTCAGCTTATGCGTGAGTTATCTTGCGTTAATTGTAGACACAGTGAAAACAATACAAGCATAAGAAATGAACGCCAAAGCGTTCCGCTTGCTTGTGATTTTAAGGAATGAAATTTCAAAACACTGTAGTGTGTAAATTGGAATGAATGTTCAAGTATCTATTTTCTTAAATTAACTAGTACCTACTTATGACACAACAACATACAGTAGACATTTATGCTAACAATAATTATTTTCCATTTTGTGGTCTTGCTACGAATAAAAGAATTCTCGGCAAACAAATTAAGCCAAAATGATATGGTCGAACATGAGCCAATTATACGAGTTAATCCTTTTTATTGTTTTCCGAAAACAAAATTGACCTTTATATACATCTGTCAACACAAATTACTACCCATTCAGGTATAAGTTTCAGTTAGCAATATCGTGGCGAGAAAATGTTATTTCTTTTCATAAAATGTAGTAGTCATATGTAGCTATTTCATGGCAAATAAATAGAATTGTGTGGTGTAGTTTAATTTGCTTGATTTTATGAGTGTCAAATTTACCACTATCTCATGCCCTTTAATTGACTCTCAGTAAAACCCACCCATACTCCATAGGGCATAATAAGACATGGTTGAATGACAACAATATGGGTTATTTTACTTTTGGCGATTCATAAATGCAATCTCAGAGATTTCAAGAGAATACGGGGATCGCATTACATTTGCTGCGTGAGCTTGTTAGTAAATATAGTTACCGGAGCTAACATAAAAGCTTTCTGATAATAGTAAAGTTCGTATAGCCATCTACTGTACAGTCTGCACTACTTAATATTTCCTGCTATTATAGTGTTAATTGTAATATACTTAGGCAAGTGTGTTTCTTAAATATAAAATTTTAAAAAATTAGCTTCTGGCAACAGCTTTGATTATAGTATACTCATTTCTATTGAAGGTTTTTAATTCTCGCTTTTCAGTACTACTATGCTAAATAAATTGTCCCCTCTATATCGGGAGAAACTTGTTTTTAAAATTTGCATGGATTCCACTTGAAATAAAATACTTTTGTTTCTTAGGCTGATTGAACATGAAGTCTCTTTGTTTTTTGGTCTTATCTCTGCTACTGGCCAGCCGTGCTTTCGGTGTTAGCATTATTAAGGTTTGTTTTTGGAATTTTGTTTTTAGCCATGCATATGATGATTATTTAAAAAGGACATGGTGAGCATATATAATACACCCTTTCGATAATTACGTCGTTTGGCCTGGGAGCCTCGCTTTCATGAATCGTGAGCCAATCACCTTGCGTAATTTACTAATAAGAGCGAGGCTCCAGAACCAAAAAGTATGTGTGACGTATAATTATCAAAAGGGTGTATTATCAATAGCGTGATTTTACCAAATAAGGCCATGAGAACACGAAAGAGCGGATTACAGTAAAAAAGCATTGCCCTCGTCTAAACTGTTTTTTCCAACTAGGGCGAAATGGAATAAAAAAAACACTAGTTCAAAGACGTCAAACGAACATTTACATAAAGCTTTTAAATTTTGTCCTGATTCGAGAATAACGTTTCGAACACTCAAACAGTACTATATACTCTATAGTAATAATAAATAATTAAAATAGAAATAGTTTTAATTTATTACAGCGTATTCCCGTAGCGAAGGGTTACGATCCTGGTTCCTGTAAAAACGAAACTCACGGCAACGAAGTATTGGTAAAAAATAGAGCTGATGAAGAAAAAATTGTTATCTGTGTGAAGGATAAAG